GGAAACTAGGTGGTCGGAAGAAATTGCCGCACTACAGCGTCACACAGACTGGCTTGAAGAAAGATTGCGCCAAACATCTGACCAGTTATTAACTATTCGAAGGGACACAGTAGGTAGCCTTTTCAGTTCTCCCAATTCGTTAGACCAGTAAAGCGCATGCTGTTGAGTCTGAACTGGAGCTCCGCAATGTCGAGGTAAGATAATTACCAGTCTTTCACTGTCTTAAAGCTGGAAAATGCTCGGAAGACTATATCCAACCTTGAGGAAAGTGTGCGGAAACTTACAGCTGCAAATGAGGATTACATTCAGAAAGTTAAACAAGTAATGTTTTGTGCAGTATTTAAAGCTTGATTAGGTTGCAGACGAGCAAATACGTATAGAACAACTTTATGGTAATGAGTTAGATGCACAAAAGCAAGTTGTCAACCTATACAAGGTAATTCTGGATTTTTCATTTATTCCCGTCCTAGGATCAGCTCAAAGAATCAGAAGAAAAGAACACTGAACTGGCTGATGCGGTAGCTGCCATGCAGGGACTACTGAAATCGGCCTACGAAAGTAATGCTTCCATCACCATGTGCTCATGTTGTAGATATATCACGCCTTGAAGCAGATAAGGTCAATATGAAGCAGCAGTTTACCGAAGAGAAATCTAGATTAGATGCCAGTTTACAACAACTGACAACGGAGTTGGAACAAAACCGTCAACTGCTTGATAAGTTCCGAGTTGATGGTATGTTTGTTGCGTGACCGCACTTTTTACCATGGTTTTCAAATTTTTCGCTAGTATTACTGCATGAGCGCATGTATGTGCGACCGTGGCAATTGCAATTCGTGAACTCACTCTTTAATTAAAGATAAAGCTTTTAGATGACGACTTTGATCTAGAGGTTGTTGATCTTCAACTCCAGCTCTACTCAAAGGTGGTGGAATAAATTTTGCTAGAGAATGGGCCACCGTGTTCTCCAAAGTTGGACACATTGATCAGATCCCCACTTCTGGCGAGTGGGGGTTGGGGATCAACTATTGTCCCCATCTTTAAAAACGGACGCCAATGATAAGGGTATACACCTTATCTTGATAGCGTCAAAGCTGTTAACGTCCGTATTTCCCCACGGATAGTACACTGCGTGAGAAGCAAACCCGCGAAGAGCAGTCTAGGAATTAGCTGAATTTGACTGCTTCTCGTACTTAGGTAGCTGCGTGACCAACGACGGTAGCTCATCAAGGGAGATAACCGCCCGCATTTCCAAGGCTCGAGTACCATACGCAGGACTTAAACAGCTATGGCGGCGACGTGGCGTGTCACTATAGTTGAAAAGTCGCATATACTGCGCCGTCGTACGATCAGTTCTACTTTACGGTTGTGAGACCTTGAATTTGCGGGTAGAAGACACCCGTCGTTTAGCAGTGTTCGACAATCGATGTTTGCGTAGACTGGACCAAGTGGGATAGAGTGAGCGGGTTAGTAATTTATATGTAAGTCGTCGGGTGTCTGGGAATACATCAAACAAGAACTCGCTATCTCATCGAATCCAGCTTGGTAGGCTTCATTGGTTGGGACACGTGTTGTGTATGTCCGACTATCGCCTACCGCAGCGCGCCTTGTTTGCAGTGGCTGTTACAGGCTGGAGGAAGCCACGTGGAGGCCAGCAGATAACGTGGAGACGAGGCATGAAGAAAGCCACAGTGCGATTAGGTAGAGTAGGTGTCTCTCATCTTCCGGGATGGGGTCCAAAAGCCTTCGAAACCGCATGGTTGGAGACACTGATGGTCATGGCTGCTAACCGACAGCAATGGCGATCATGCTGTTACTTGTTATCAGTCAGCAATGCTTGAAATAGTATTTATGCACAGTTGGGCTGTGTAATCAGTGTGTTGACCATAGAGATTCGCTTTCTTTTACCGTGCCTAAAAATAGGCCCAATCCCTGTCCTCCTTACACATTCTACTTATCTTGTATGCATTATGAGTTTGGCAGCAATCAGTGAAGTTCGCTTCACTGTGTTATACTGTACAATAATGATGATGATCGTGATGAGTCTGGATTTTGTGTCGGTCGTGAATGCATCAATCAAATAATCATCATTCGATAACTGCTGGAGCACCATCGTGTTTGTCAAAGACAAACAATCGTTTCTTATACATTTCCGTGGCCTTGGACTCTCGATAAAACCGCACTGTTGAGCTGTTTGTTGAAGAATGGAGTACCCGAGAAGTTTGTGTCGATCCTCAGAGAGTTGTTTCATCATATCTTGATTCCGTGCGGAATTAAGCCGTATGGCGTGGTACAATTCTGGCTAGCGGGTAGTATCTTTTGTGGTACAGGAATGCCTCAGTTGTTCCGAAGATTCGTTTATGATCTGTTTCTCATCTAGGAATGCAATTAAAATCTCCCATCATTGCTATACCGTTGGTTTTATGTTGCTACTAATTTCGCTCAGTTGTGTATTCGTTTTGAAGGACAAACTGAGAAACCTGCTAAACGAGTTCGTTTTATATTAACATCTAGGTTTGACGGAAGATGAGTTGCGTCAGCTTAACCCAGCAGTTGCCGCCACGTTGAGTGCATTGAAACGAGGACAAAGTTTGACCCAACTTTATTCAGACTACATTCAGTTGGTGGAAGATCGTGATCAGTTGCGGCTGGATAAACAAAGGTTGACAGAATATGTCAACCAGTTGGTGGACGATTTGAAGGAAAAAGGTACCCCCTGTTCTCATTTGAACTTTGAATTCTAACTTAATAATTGTTTATGATAAGAGCACATGCTCCAATCACGTGTGTGTGTGTGTGTGTAATAACTTCACTACAAGTTCATTTCATTTCTTCTACACTGGTGCTCGTGAACACGAACCATGCTCTGTTAGGAGCCGGGTTCTTCCTGCATCTGGTAAACAGCTGCCACAAGGCCACCAGAAACCCAGGCCCATGATACAATCTAAGCGATAGTGTCAAATTGGCCTT